TGCACCATTGCTAACCAAAATCTGATCAAAGGTAAGAGATGGCTCAATCTATTATCTTAATAGTATATCTACAAAATCAGGTTAGTAAGTGATGACTATATTCAAGTTCAGCTACAGAGCAATGTGAAGCAGCCCATTTTCCTATACACTAAAGAATATTATCAAGTATTTAAATGCTAGGAAATAAATAAAAGTATAGTCTGGCTTAGGAAAAAAGAATCAGGAATCATGAAAAATTAAAAACGTCATCTCCAGGAGAATATATTGCCAAGACTGCTTGAAGAATACTTTGTTTAGGTCAAAAGTTGTGCCAAAGCTAATCAAACCGAAGAAATTAAAAGTTGCACCAAAGCTACTCTCAATATTCACTTCATTTGCTAAGTATATTTTAGGAAGGGTTAGAGGTGCCTCCTCTATGGTATTTTTTTAGAGATGTTTGGTTGCTGATTATGCCACAATTAGTAATAAAATTTTGATACAGCTGCTTGGTTTATTTGGTGTTACCTTCATTGGGTTATGTAGTTATGTAAATTGACTGAAAGTTTGTTTTAATAAATTTGCTGACAAATGCTTGACTTTCTGTCATATATCTGTCCGTATATTTTTTCTTTTGTTATAGGGATATTGGTATATTTGTTAAGTATTTTTTAGAACAGGTTAGAGATGCCTCCTCGATGGTATATTTTATTTCTATTCTTCTTAAACTAAACTTAGAAAATCAAAGAATTTAGTAGTTTATATATGTTTTCAGTCACTTCAATTAAAGAGGTTTAACACGTACATATGAATTCGAAGTTTTCTTCAAACTTTCTTAAGACTTATAACAACACTTAAATCTTGAATTAGAGGCATACGCAAAGGAGCCTCAAAATGAAAGAAGTATAGTAGTGAGTTTTTCATTTTCTCTGAAAATCTCAAAAAATGCCTCTATGTAACTTCTGAAAATTCAGCGGCTGAAATACAATGAACATATTCAGTACTAAATGCAAATATATAGAAATATGCGAATGATTTATAAATAGATCAAACTACACCCCATAAATGTTCATATCAACAGGAAACAAAGAACAAAAATAAATAAATAAGAAGCTTGAATAGAATTTGAAGCAGCAAGAACAAACAATACCTTATTTCACCAATCGATTGTCCAGGAATGTAATACAATTGTATGAAAGAGTAGTGAACGGGGCCTTGGATCGACATCTCAGCCCTGAATTGCAACCGTTGAGGCATTTTTGAAAACCAAGCAACCAAAAACGAATTTAGACAAAGAAAAATTCAGAAGATCGAAAACATGGAAAAAAATCTTAATCAAGAACTGATATTAGTAGATTCAAGGAAACTAAAACCGGAATCGAAACCTGAATTTTAAAACCCAAATGGAGAGAGGAGTTGCTTCAGTGCTTTTGAACTCGGATTGAGTTCCGATGAGTGGAGAAGAATTAGAGTTGTTGATCAATGAAGAGGATGAAGATGAAGTTTAGAAAGGTTGGCGACTGATATGAATTCCGCTACGCAGAAGGCGACGATGAAGATGATGGTGTGGACTGCGATGACCTGGAATGAGAAGGAATGAACTACTGGAAAAGTCGAAAGCCGTAGATCTTGTTTTGATCGTGCGGATGAGATGCATTCGAATCTTGAGCGGCAAAATGAATTCTCCAAAAGTACTGTAATTATGTAGAGTGATTTGGAGATGGTGCAGTTGGGACGAGCAGAATGTATTTATACAACTGCAGTCTGTTTGTTTCCTTTCCTTTTTTATGGATGTCTATGTATCTGGATGGAAAGCATGACCAGGTTCGATATGTGTTTTGCATTTTTCCTTCAAAGCAAAATTGATTAGTCGTACCATAGGCACAGCAAATGATTAGTCGTACCATATGTGTATTTCAAAGCTAAAATGTTAAAGGTGCATACAATATCTCTCTCCTTTTCAGGGTCTTATGTGTTTAAGATAAATTTTTGTCTGCAATGTCAATCACAATGTCTACATCTAGACATTGTGCTTGACATTGTGAAGAAAAACTTACCAAAATGATGTAAGGTCCTTCAAATAAGGAGAGAGATATTATATTTATTGTTTTTTAATTGGTTATTTCTCATGCCACGTATGCACCGTTAACGTTTTAGCATTGAAGATGCTCTCAGATACTCGGTTCATTTGATTATTACAAAACTTTACTGAAATCTTTAGGAAAAGCGTTAACATTTGCTTTGTATTCTTGACACTAAAAAATATGAATATACATATTTTGTATAATGATAAATAGTCCAATATTACAAAATAGTGATTTTAATTTAATTAAGATTAAACAAAATCAAAGAATGTTATTTCAGAAAATGAAACAAAGTGTTCAAAATTTCACAACAAGTCTAGAATTAATATTAATATTTATGAATTTAAAGTGTTTCATTTTCAACTAAATAATAATAATTTTGCAGTTTAAAATTAAAGAGTTAATATTTTAACATAAAAATAATTCTTTGTTTTTAACTCTTTATTTTTTCTATTTTTCAAGTTTGAATTATAATTTATTTTTAGTTTTTTTAAAATGTATTTTATTTATTTAAATTCCATAAGGATAAATTTGCTCCTTATAGGAGCATGATGTGTATTTTGCAAATTTTTAAACTTCAGGGGTATGTGTGTTCCAAAAAAAAAATAGAACAGTGCTATATTTATTCTCACACTCATACTACAAGAGTAAATTTGTACTTTTTCCTAAATAAAACAAAGAAAAAGGTGCAAATATATCCTTTAGCTTTATGTTCATATTCATATTCATATACTCCTTCAATTCTTTCTATTATAATTGTCTCTTTTTTTTTTATGTCCCATTACATTTGTCTCATATCATATTTGATAATATTTATGTGGCACTAATTCAATCTTATTTTATTCTCACTTTATCAATTCATTATCAACCACAAAACTCTACTTTTCATAAAAACTTGCACCACTATCATTTGTCACAACCTTAAGGTACAAGGATACTCCTATTGTTTCTATAAAGAGAAAAATTTTCATTTATTGAATTTAATTAAAAAACTATATTTTAAAAATACAAAAAATATATATAATGAATTTGGAAAATCAAAATTATATAATGAATTCCATTTTTTGTTTTAAAAAAACATCTATTTGGTGTCCAATGTTCTCTCTTATTATCCTTATATCACAGCTTAACATTGTTAGCATAATCACAATATAATATTGTTATGAAAAAAACTTTACTATATATTTATAATTCTTTCGAAAACGTGTTAACATATGTGTTACAATGAAAAGATCATTAGTTTTTAATATTGTTTGATCTATAAAATTTACTTAACACATTTTGTATGATGATAAATAATCCAACATTACATTTTGTTTTATTAAGTTTAAACAACACCAAATAATTTAATTTTAAAAAATGTAACAATGTGTTCAAGGAAGGAATAATAATTTTGGCTTATTTTAAACAACGCCAAATAACTTCAAACAACACCAATTTTATTGGCAACAAGACTAAAATTAATATTTATACATTTGAAGTGCTTCTTTACAAGGAAAGAATAATAATTTTTTAGCCTAACATAAAATAAATCTTTCTTTTTATTCTTTTTTTGTGGGTGGGTTAGGGTCGTGGTTAGGGGTAAGGGTGGGGTAGTGGGTAGGGTTGGGGTAAGGTAGGGGTAGGGTAGGGAGTTGGGATAGGATGGCGGTGGGGTGGGGCCGGGACCATGGTGGGGCCGAGGTAGGGAAGGGGTAGGGTGGGGGGTAGTGGGTAGGGTTGGGGTAAAGTAGGGGTAGGGTAGGGAGTTGGGATAGGATGGCGGTAGGGGTGGGCTCGGGATCCGGGTAGGATGGCGGAAGGGTGGGGGTAGGATGGCGGTACGAGGGTGGGGTTAGCATGGTGGTGGGGTGGGGCCGAGGTAGGGGGCATGTGGTAAGGGGTAAGGGGTAATATACGGGTGGGGAGGGTAGGGTGGGTCGGGGGTGGGGTCAAGGTGGTAGGGGGGTGGCAGTAGGGTAGGCTGGATCGGGGTGGGGCCGAGGTAGGGCATGTGGTAGGGGGTGGGGTAGGGTCATTATAGGGAAAAATGGGTACGCGGGGTTGGGTGGGTAGGGTAGGGTAGGTAGGGTAGGGGTAAGGGGTAAGGTATGAGGATGGAGGTACCGGAATGGAATTGACATCGGAGCGGGACCGGACCCACCACTAGGTGTAAGTATGCAAATTCATGCAGCGGCACTGTAGCATCTGCGTTTTCCAAATTTGGAAAACTAGTAAAAGTCACTTCTCCAAATCATTAAGGAAAAGAGAGACATGTCTCATTTTTTCCGTTTTGGAAAACTATTTGGTAAACACGTTTTTCTTTTTTCCTTTCTCCACTTTTCCAGCAATTTCTTTGGTAAACACGTTTCCTGTTTTCTGTTTTCCAGTTTTCTGGAAAACTAGAAAATATCTCTGTTAGTAAATAGGCCCTAAGTTTTTATTGTAAATATTTCCATTTTTGAATCCAATATATTTTTATTTTTTTATTGTTATTTATTTATTTATTTATTTATTTATTTAAAATCGCCAAGGGCTAATTTGCTTCTTTATAAGATCGTTAGGGGTATCATTGCACCTTTTAGAATTTGAGAGGTATGTCTGCACCTGCACATATACTTCAATGGTAAAATAAAAAAATGTTTGGGCTTTGTTGGCTTTTTTAGGGTTTTTTATGGTCACGGTTAATTAAATAGAAAAACAATCTAGAAGGAGGGCGAATAGACTATTCTTAAATTCTCTTTCCTATTGAGATAGAATATATCCGTCTCATAGGGCCGGAATAAATCTGGACAGAAATGGCCTGCAGCGGAATATGTATGTCTAGACGGGTAGCGTGGAGAAACACTAAGGCGTATTTGCCTTCTATTTCTCTAGAGCAAAATCTGCTAGAGCACAGAATCCACACTCATTGAGAAAACAAATTTGCGTGAGTACAAGAAAGTAAACAGAGTAATTGAACGACACCAAGAATTTTATAGTGGCTCAAATAACAATGTGTTCCTCTAGTCCATTGTTACACTAAGCACTTTTAAAATTGTTACAACGCCTATATTTAGTAGCACCTAAGAAGTTCTCTTCATCTTCATCAAGTGTAATCACCTTTGTCACTCGAGAGCAACCTTGCTTCCTGATGATTGACCATTTCACCGAGCTTCTTGAAGTAACACCGTTTCACTCCAGTTAGCTTGGACCCCTTCTTTTTCAAGATGTAATCCTTTGTAAAGATAACAAAGATTTTCCTCCAAAGTCTGTACAAGATATGTTGATGTAGCTTTCGGAGTAAGTTGAAGAACAACAATGAACTTGTATTGAGATTTTGATGTAAGATGTGAGTTATAAATCTTCCAATCTCTCGTTTGAATTCTTGTGAAGAATGTGTAGATGGTTGATCTCAAAAATTTGTACCTGGATTTGAAATGTAACACTGAACCCGAATTTCACCCAAATAATTTTTTTCATCTAGTATGGAGTTAAAGAAGGTAAATCAAGACTAAGAATAGTATTAATAATGAGGAAAATAAATTTCTTGTCTTACATTAATAAAAGATTATTAAACCAGTCGTGGGGCCCACATTGGGGAGTAGGTGTATAACCATCCCCAGAAATGTTCATCTATAGCATTGGGTGAATTAGATGTGGCACCTTGATAGGAAGTTGTGGTAGATTTATTTTTTCCGTCTTAACTTCTATCAGTACTGTAATAAACGCGTGGGACCCACATCGGGGGCGGGGACCACCCATGATATTCCGGGATGGCATATAATACCTGATAGAGTATATGGACTCGGACCCCCGGGTCTCACGACTATTGGGCCCAGACAGCGGCCCACATACGCTCAGTAGATAGCATTTATCTCGTTGTACACGCTATTTTATTCATGTATATCCATCAGAATGGATTAAATACCATTTATTAGCCATTTATTGGCCTTTTATTGTAACTGGGCCAGCCAGGCCCAAGCCTGGAAGCCCAGCCCTTTTTTCTTGTATAAATACTCCCTATAGGAGCCATGTAAAAGGGTTGGAAGTTGGAAATTCATTATACACATATCACTTTATCTCTCTAGCTCTCCCTTCTCTCTAGAATTAAATAGTCTATCAATACAAATGTTGATCTAATACTGATATGGTGCATTTTTTGAGATGAATTGTGGTGTTGTTTTTTGTAAATAAGTGGAACGGTTTACAAGTTTGTAAACGTGCACTATTTGAACATAAAAGTGCATCTTATTGTTATAAAAGTGAAATTTTGTGTTTTACATGTTAAAAGCCTATTTATGAAAATGAAAGTGATTTTAATTAAAATGTGAGAATTGAAGTGTTTGATAAAATAAGTGATTTTTGGTGTAATAAATTGTTAAAATACAAAAATACCCCAAATTAAATATTGAATTAAAAAGGGTTAGAGAATAGACAAGCGGACAGAAATCTTCATAGCCTCGGAGCCTGCTACAGTGAATTTGCATCTAGCCGACGGATCAGGGGTGGAGACAGGGAGGGGCTGGAGGTGGCCACGGCCCCTGCAAGAAAAAAAATTCTTAAGTATATATTATGTATAAATATTTTTAATCTGTTGAAAGTATGTTGATATTTTACATTTGGCCCCTGCAATAATGTAAAATTGTTAAGGACCGGCCCCTTTAACCCTAAATGTCTGGCTCCGCCACTGCGACGGATTCCCTGGAGGTACTCAACAAAATCTTCATAGTATGGCCAGAAAGCTTCACCATCGCCGATGGTGGAATATGGTGGCGGACGACCACGTATCATGGATGTTGGTGGAAGATGTCTCCGCCGATGAAGAGGAGATGCATCCAGGAGCAGTGAAGAACAGTGCAGGGACAGAGAGCAGTGAAGTGGAAGGGTTTTTGGGGTTGAGTTGGATAAATTATCTATTACAACTAACCTAAAGTTGTCATATAATTACAAAAGAAAAATACTAGGTATACACTACACAAAGTGACACAATGTCTATCTACACAGACAAGGTACAATTTGTGCACACTTTTTGTGTACACCAAGAACGACCCATTACAAAAAAACCAAGAATCATTTAACAGCAGCTCCGGTTTGCTTTTTTGCTTCTAGATTAAATCAGCTTAAGTAGAATTTATCATTTCAAACATCACTTTTGGATTTTTCATACCTAAATGCACAAAAGTGTTTAAATTAAGCAATGACAAACATAGCCTTAGATTCTTTCTACTTTTAAAAAGTGATTTGAAAATGGTTTTGACAAAAGTATTTAATAGTAAAAGTTAATAGTGTTTGGAATTTTTTTTTCAAAAGGTAAAAGTTAATAGTGTTTGGTTAAAAAATATTTTTGTGTAATAGAAAAAGAGAAAAGTAATTTGAAACACATATCCACCTACTTTCAACTTTTAAATGTGTAATTTAAGCAGAAACTTTTTTTTTAAGCAGAAACTATCATTTGAAAAGATTTATTTCAAATATTTTAATCCAAAAGCTAAAACACTTTTTTTAAGTTTTTGCAAACACTCCATAATATCGTAGGAGTTATTGTGGATCTTTTTGAGATTCTGCCCTATTCTTTGGCCAAATTTGAATTTGCACTCAATTTTCAAAATAATTAGTTATTGCGCCCCCAACGTCCAAATTCCAAAATATATGGTAAAAAGGGAGGTTCAATCTCCAATTTAAAAGAACTAGTGTCTTGCATAACAATTTACAATTATGAACACAAACAAGAGATCACGGCCAAACTACTCTAAAACAGGCTATATTCAATCACAAATCACCCCAAGCGACTTTAATGAAAAAGTTGTTTATACTACTAGTCACCATGCTCCTCCAATTACTTCATTTACAAGGTATGAACGTTTATTCATCTCATGACTTCTGAAAATTGGGGAAGACCTACTATTACGGCCTGTTTGGATTGAGTGTTAAGGAGTGTTAGTAATGGAAGTGTTAGCAAGTGTTGATGCTAACACTTGTTTGGGAGAAAAATCCAGAGGTGTCAAGAAGTGTTAGTAATGGTTAGGAAGTGTTAATAATAACCTTCCCAACACCTCAATTGTCCATTTTTTTAACACCCCGATTTGGAGTGTTTTGAGGTGTTGGACAATTATTACCCTTCTCATTTACCCGAAAAACATAAAATGCTTCGACATTTCACTTCGAATGTCTTTCCCACGGGTCTGATGGTTTGTTTTTCATCTCTTCTCTTTACTCGTTTCTTTTGCCTCAAGATAAAATTATTAACACTTCATTATTAACACTTCATTCATTTGACTCTCCCAAACACGGTAAAATTATGTCTAACACTTACCCTTCCCTTCCCTTCCCTTCCGAGCCCTTACTAACACTTACTAAAAGTTCCATTACTAACACTTCCAAACACTCGGTCCAATCAGGCCCTTATAGTTCCCGAAGGATTGAAGAGTGCTGCTGGGTTTCTGCGTTCTAGGTGTAGTCCATTTAATATGGAAAACTACAGAAGTTAAGCAAGAGCAATTGGATATTGCAGGGGATGGTTTTCACTAATAAAGACGTTTTGCGCTAGAGAAAATCACATAAAAAGATGCAATAGTGACGCAATGGCAATCGAGGGGAAAGATTTCGGAAGATTGATATAGCTGTATTCAGTTAGTAGTTAGTTAACGGAATAGTTAACTGACTAAGACTGTTAGTTGGTTAAAATGCCTATATAAGGCTAATACTTGTACAAGGAAAATAAGAAGAAAGTTCTTCATTCCTCATTTACATTCTTTCTCTTTAATCTCTCTCTCTCTGAAAGTTTAGTTTACTGGTTCTCGAATTCTCTTCTTCATTCTTTATGAGATTTCCTGGACGGCAACAAAGATATTTGAAAAGGTTGCTTTAGGGGCGCGGTTAATGAAGCTGAGGAGAAGGCTTATAACAAGAGGATGGTCATTGACGTAATCATGTTTCTTTCCTGGTCCAAAGGCAGATTAAGTGGCCGTTTGGAACCTTAAAAATAGGTTGATAAGCCGTAAAGTCTGACAAAATCACTAAAGGCATGTAAAGGGGCTGTTTGGGCCGATTTTCCTTGTCAGCCAAAAAAGTAACATCAGAACTACTTTTTCGGCTGAAATATACGGAGTATTAATTTACCGTTGCCTTCCGTAATGACCCCTTTAGCCCCTTCTATTGTACTGATCGATGACTTTTCCTTCCACAATCCAGATCAACAACTTCTCTTCCCAGTATACAGATTAACTTCTCCTTCCAGATGGTCGAGATATTCATCTACTCGGTTGCGTGCGTAACCTCTCCATTTACAGTTTTAAAGGCCAAAGAGAGACTCATCTCTCTTTCCATTGGCGGTCTACGTTTCCAATTTGCTGATAAAAAGTGAAGCCTAATGATCTAAATTTGCTGGGGGAATTTGGATGGTGTGGAATGAAAGATTTTGGTAGAATGGAGGAAGGGGTGTAGTGTCTCTAGTGCACCAAATTAAGGCATATTAGATGGGTTGAGAGCAAGCTCAATTTTCTCAGACTCATATGAGGCTCTCCAAATTGGTCAGACTGGTTATAAGTTTTCTTGAGGTGCTCAAAGGAATTATTGCAAATGCATTGCAAAACTAATCATTTAGTAGAGTGAGCTTGAAAGTAATTTCATAATTTCATCCCGTGGTATTCTAATGATGATCCCACTTTTCTTTGTTTTGAAACAAACCTTGATTTTTTCTAGAAGATCGCATTATTCCATCAACACAAGAACCCGATAAAATGTTTTCGAATGAGGTTCGCGGTGTAAGTTCTCAACTTATGATTCCATTATGAGACAAATTTACTTAAAATTATGAGGTAACATCGTTGATAGTGTATGTCGATTGCATGTGTTCTATTATGTATTTTATTTCCTTAATATATTTTCGGACATTATAATTTGTGGTGTAAAAATGCTAATACTTTGTGTGTATTTTATGTTTCATTTTATTTCAATTCCAATTAGTATTTACGTTTCATTTTATTTTAATTTAAATGCATGTCAGCTTGTTGACATACTTTGTTAATTAATGGTGGGACTGGTTGCTCTCATTCGGAGGCTGAATGGCTGATGAAGTGACGATGATGACTTCGGTGATGAAAAAACTTCAGGTGACAATTTTCCATGCCTTCGCAAAGGCCCTTGACTGGCCGTGAATTGCTAGGCTGATTAAGTCATCGAAAATAGAAGTTGATGTCTCACTTGGAAAGGCCCTTGACTGTCCAGAAGAATTGCTTGCATATTGGCAAAAAAATTTAGCCTATTGTTTGATCTGAAACGATTCATTGTAATTGGGCTCTTATGGAGTGATTCTTTGTTTCCATCATTAGTGTTTGTAGTTCTTCGTATCTTTATTAAATAAAATTTTATCTTTTCATGCAAAAAGATACGCCTGCCATTAACAACTTCCAAGTGGGGGTGTGAATGTGTATCCGATAGTATAACATTCTGTTTGTACAAAAATATAGCAATGTCAGCTCAACTCTTCTTCTTACATTACATAATAATTGCAGCTAGGCCAATGCCTTCTCCATCGTCAGCTTTGGATTCTTGGGCAGGAGTTATGTTGCGATGCCTTGCTGGGAAAACAACAAATAAATAGTTATGTAAGCCATACAGATATTGTGTTCTTCCAAATGCTGTCAGAGACGTATAATGAAGATTCATAAATTAGACACTTTCATCTCTGTTTAATATAATGTTTAACACAAAAAGTCATTTCTCACTAGAAGTTCAAAAGAGTAATATGAAATATTTGTGAGAACCAAACACAGGAAAATCTTAAAAATCAATTTCCCAACAGTTTTTCCAGCAACAAACGAAGCATAAATAACCATTTGTCTAACAATTCAGGTATCAATATCATTCATGGGAGTGATTCTTCGTTGCCATTGATTTTAGCATGATACTTGCCTAAGGATTTGAATGACTAGAAAAGTGGGTAGGACTATAACCTGACACATTCGTTATGACATTCACGGTTTTCTGGGCAGCAAGTGCTTTTAACCTGTTTCCTGTTGCCAGTAACAACAAACTTTTCATGTGTTGTTTCTGTTCCTTGGGACTATTGGTCTTTCCCAAAGCTTCTTCAAAGGCATGGAGATCTTGGGAGGTTATCTGAGGAAGAGAGAGTATAATCTGCAAGGATAAAAATGTAAAGATGATTAGATCCATCTACATGACATACAAAGACTACCTACAAATAAAATGCAAAGCCCGTTTATATTTGCTATTACCTTTTTCAGTTTAACAGCCAAAAAATATCACCAGAAATTATTTTACTTAACTGCAAGTCTGCTATGGTTGAATTGGTTGAGAATGAAAACAATGGTGTGAGAGTTTTTTTGCTGGAATTGCTCAAAATAAAGAACCTGGGATATTATATGTATAAACACAATCTTATTTTAAACACAAACTAGGTTCAACAGTTTGCCATTGTGTATGCTGAAAAAAGGTTATCCACAGGTCTTGGAGCATCAACCACTGTAGAATTGCCATGTGTGCAATTTTTGTGACCCTTAAGCAACTTGGTCCACTTAAA